CCCCCGCCAGCCCTAGCTGCCCTTGCCAGCCACCCCCGCAGCTGCTGCCTGTCTAATAATTACGCTGGCAGCGGCTGCGTTTCATGAACTTGGCTCCCCGAAATGGGCAGTAAAAGAAACTTTTTTCTCTTCGCTCTACGTGTAGCGGTTGCTCTCTACTCTCTCCCCCTATATGTGTGTGTGTGTGTGTGTGTGTGTGGGTGTGTGTCTAAGTGTCTGTCGCATAGGTAATTCATGACATTATTTTAATTGCAGCTGCTGCTGTTTCTGTTGCTGTTATTGCTGTAACATTTCGCACGTGACTTTGTGATTTTATGGCATTTAATTTCACGTATTTAGCTACGGATATTGTTAATTGTATTCCACAGACCGCCCACACGCCCACACGCCTAGCCGCCCATTCGGCTTATAGCCACGTTTATGACAGTCTATGTGTGTGTGTGTGTGTGCCATAATTTTGCGCATTGTTTTATTGACACAAAACCAAGCATTAGCAATTTGCGGTATCTCTTTGCATTCACAGGGCAGCCATGGGGCATATCGAAATCATCGGACAGTTAAACAGAGTCAAAGCAGATAGCAGCAGGAGACCTTTTCACTCATATTTCAGGGTATTTTTTAGTCGTGCTGCTGACAGTCGAGGCATTAAATTAATGATGTCACACAGCGGAGGCATAAAAAGCATAGCATACTTCTTGGGGGCGGGGCCCTGCTTTTAATTATCCCAAGATTTCGCACAGCAGGAGCAGAAACAGGAGCGGCAAAAACTAACAACACAACAGCAGAACTACACGTTTATGAATAATGGTTACAGCCTGACATTGGTATATGTAAATACGTACATGTGTGCTTGTGTATGTGTGTGGCTGTGTGTGTGTGTGTGCAATCTCTCTCATTGGACAAATAATAATGTGTAATTTTCCGGTCATTGAAACATTTGCGCAAATAAGGAAATTGGCTGAGCCCGAACTGAAATGACTTTGACAACATGTCAGGGCAAGTTTATAAAGGTATGTGTGTGTGTGTGTGTGTGTGTTTGCCTGGACATCCGTTTGACATACACACACACACGCAACGTCTGTCCCTATTTGCACTCGCCCTGACTGCTGCCTGACGGATGAGTTATGGCTGGCAACGTCTGCTTCGGTTTGCGCTTGGCTCAAGTAAATCATTTGAATATTTAAATTAAATCGAAATCTTGTCAGCAACAACAACAACAACAACAACAAGAGCAGCAACAACAGGCTGAAATATGCATCTACACTACCGTCCCGGATGCTGGGACTTTAAGGCGTCAATTATAATGCGAGACATGAGAGCGGCGCGTGATTTGCAATCAGCGAGAAAACTTATAGTTTCTTATGTACCCATGCATAGAGAAGAAGCCAAATAGAAATTATATATCAGTATATACTCGTATTTCAAAAGCTTCCAAGTTGAGTGGTTAGATGGGATAGAACATAAGGTAATTTTGTGTACTTTTCTTTTCTTTTTAAAGCTAAATGAGCGGAAATTAAGTTTCCGATGAATATAAACTTTTGATGCCGTTAGGTTATCCAAGCTTTCGTAACTACCTTCGCTTTCAACATAACTCTTAAATTACTTATTCAAAAATTGTATGTCTTACAAATATCTTCAATTGCTGATGTTGCTCTCCTCTGACTCCTCTTTCATTTGCTATCTCTCTCTTTCTCTCCCTCTGTCACTCTCGCTGTCTCTCTTTCTGCCATTCTTGCTCTCTCACTTTCGCTGTCTCTCTCTCACTCTCGCTCTCTCTCTCTTGCAATCTCTCTGTCACTCTTGCTCTCTCTCTTCCTCTGGCATTCTCACTGTCTCTCTCATTATACTCTCATTCTCTCACCCTCTAATACACAAGCTCTATCTGACTCTCTGGCCCCATCTCTGTCATTCTCTGTCTATACTTATGCTCTCTGATTCTTTGTATGATATTGTATCTGTAATACCTTGCTCATTTGTATTTCTGAACTGGATTTCCTATTCAAGAATCTAGGCTTTAATTTAAGTCTTGGTTTGCCCTAAAAATATTTGCAATAGAATTATTTCTTTTTGCTCAATAAATATTTATAAAATGCTTTTCTTTTTGTTCTACAGCTCAACTTGGCAAAAAGTAATTACAATATAAATAAAAATTTGCATCTTTGATAGCTGTTTCATCATTCATAAATATACATTTGATAAATGGATTTGCCATATATGAATGTATTCTTAGGACGCTAAAATTAGATCTAGACTATTCTTGGTTCTTGAGAAATTCGCACTTCTCGTTAATTTGAGATTTTCGCACTAAATTTCTATTGTTTATCAACTGTACGAAAACGAACTTTCCTCACTCATAAATTGTTTCCTGTCTTGGTTTTTATTTGAGTGAGGTGTGTTCATCATATGTGCAAAGTGTTTCCTCCTCTAGTTCTTATTCGCCAAAGACCTTTGATTGCTTTCCTGCGCATATTCTCTAGAAAATCAGCGAATTCTCCAAATGTTCAGCTGAAAAGCTTTTAGCTGCAGATTTGCGCTGCTTGCTCGAATTGTTTATCCGAAATCTTTGATATTTAATTGATGGGCATTTCATGGTCTGATTTATGCAGACCCCTCAAGGTATGATATATGTATAATGTAGCATGAGTGGATTATGAGAGCTCGCTCGCAATTATCATTGCGCCATGCATCAAAGGGAACTCGCTGGCATTGGGAGTCTCTATGCACTTGATCCGCATCTGAAGTGGGGGCATTTGTAAGGCGGCGCAAATGCCGTTGCAGGCAGGTCAAGACAAGACAAGACAAGTAGGAACCAGCTCGGACAGTTGACTAATTGAACGCCAACGTCGCCAGCCGAAAAAAACATGACGTAAAACATTTTGCCAGCACGCAACAACAACTACAACAGCAACAACAATGAGAACAAGCCGAACAACAATGAGAATAAATGTAAAACCACAATGCAAAAAATGCTTTAAACAAATTGCACGCGTGTCAAAATTAAAATGAATAAATTTCTTTCGACGTTGCACAAACGAAAAAAAAAAAAAACAACAATAAAACAAAAACAAAAAAAGAAATAAATAAATGCAGCAATAAAACAAAAACCGCAACCGACAAAATTCAGAAAAAAAAATTGTAAAAAGAAAACAAATAAATTTCAAAATGAAACAAAATTCTGCAAAGAGAAGCCGACGACGATTAAACTCAGCAGGGTTAAAGGTATGTGTGTGTGTGTATGTGGGTGTAAGTGTGTGTGTGTGTGTGTGTGTGTGTGTGTGGGTGTAAGTGTGTGTGTGTGCTTACTTTACATATTTACGACGTGCGCATTTGACTGGCCTTGTAAATTTCGATTGTTGTTGTGGTTGTTGTTCTTGTTGTTGCTGCTCCGCTCGTATAATTAATTAAAAATCGATAAGATTCTGATATGGATTTAACGGCTTTTCAGAATTATGATGCTTAGTCAGCAGCAGCGGCAGAAGCAGCGACATCTTTTGAGAAACGATGACAAATGGCAGACGCGGCGTATGCGCAATTTACAACTGCGACGAGTGAACACAACAAACAACAGGAACTGGCAACAACAACAACAACAGCAACAACCACCAGCAACATTTGCCTGTGTTTACATATATTTGTTTTCTTTTCTATTTCTCGATTCGGTGCTCTTTAAGTAGCTTCGCATTTGGTTTGCTTACAAAACTCAATTTGCAATTGGCCAAACGAGCAACAAAAATTTTTTGGTGCAAACGTCAGCTCTGATTCGAAATGCCCAGTTAGATGGATAGACGCGATTATGCATGCATATACATGCGTATATTTATATACATATATTAAGTCTAAAAATAGCAATTGCCTAGTATTTGTTGCTGTTGTTGTTGTTGTTGTAGGTGGAGCAACTTATTTGGTCGAGTTGATTAGGCAGCGCGTGAAAATTATAGCCAGCTCATAAATTAACTGACCACCGTGCTCAGTTCCTGTGGCTACTTCTTGTGTAGCTGCTCGCATTGCGTATACCCTGTAGTGTAGGTTTATTGGGTATGATGCGTAGGCAACAAATATCAAACTGAAGAGAGTAGAAGGCAGCAAAGAGCTTGTTGAACTAAGCAATTCAATAAAATAAAATATGTTCACTTGAATATACCCTGTAGTCTGGTCAAAATGGGTATGATGTTAAGAAAATGTAGAAATTTTTGAAAAAAGTTTTTCGGTTATTGCTAAAACATGATTGATTTGAGTATACCCTGTCGTTTGGGTATTAAGGGTATGATGGATATAGAAAATTATTTAGGCACCTTTTTAGGTTCTATTACTGAGATTTGCCTGGCATATACACACATAATGTATATACATACATATATAATATATATAAACAGCTTTTCTCATATATATTTTTATAAAATGCTCACTCTGATCATACCCTGTAATCTGAGTATACCCTCTACTCTACGCATGATATTTATAGTATCTTAATGACTAATTTTTCAATCTCTAGTCAAATTTTTCAAGGGCTGTGAAATAATTGATAAACTTATTAAGGCCACTTCAATTCTATGTACACTATGTAGGGTATTTACACATATAGCAATCTCAACTTTGTAGCTTTATTGTTGAATACTTTGACTTTTTTTTTTTTACTACCCACTGGCAAATTTATCGCATACATCAATTATTTTCAAAGGTCGTCGCTGCAAGGGTTTGAGATTTTCTATAAATCTCTGGACTTGCACGAATAATGGGCATTATTTGGGCTAATTGGTGTAAATTGTAATTCCACTGTTTGTTTTTCTCTGGATTCCATGTGTGGAAATAGTCAATTAAATTTGAAAAGGCCCCGCATCGATGCGCAACGGAATTCCTTGAGCGGAATGGCAAAGTTTTTATAGTTGCAATAGAACGAAAAACTATCGATAGACGAGCGATATATTTATACAAATATATGTAAGTTATTTATATAGCTAGTTACTTTCAGATTGTGGAGTAAGTAATGCGCATTGACTTACCTTTGCACACCTTGCGATGATCTAGTGGCTTGTTGGGATCCCGATAGTAGCCCTCCTTGCACTGATGACAGTTCCGGCCCGTTGTCGAGTGGCGACAGTTCTGGCAGACGCCGCCGGAGACGCCCTGTGATCGCCGAAAGATGTCCATATTGAAGCGACACTGGTGCGCATGGTTATTGCAATTGCACTCTAGAGAGAAAGAGAGATAGAGAGAGAGAGAGATTGTTAAAGAGCTGCATGAATGAGCATGTAATATATCATTGGCCCAACTATCGCCTAACTACCATCAATGTGTTGCCCCCTGCCACAGTTTAAGCTTGGCAAATGCGATAAATGGAAATAAATGGAACGCAAATCGTCCAACACGAGCTGGACTCATACGGACGAGGGGAGTGAGTGGGATGGGGCCAGGGCATGTCATTTTTCTAGCGGGACATTGGCTTCAATTGCATAATTTATGCGATGATTTGTTTGCCCGGCCTTAAGCATGGATTTTCATCGAACTCTACGCTGAATACACTTTGCCGAAGGCCAAAGCTCTCATTGGCTTGACTGCAATTGTTGGAGGCGTTGAAGTGCTCTCTGCTATCCCGGGCACGTTGCTCTATTTGTACTACAGATCTATGAACAGTTTTGTTAGTGTATTTCGCTATTCGTTACGGTCCTCCACTGCCGACTGCCGACTGTTGGCTGGCTCATGTTTTGCTTTTGGCAAACACTTTGCTATTGACATTCGATGATGTCTGCTGTGCTGGCATCTTTTGCTGGCCATCGTTAGCTTTGTTCGAGCTGAAGTCCAACTTGGAGCTGTCAATGCCAAAGGCCGATGATTGCAGGCTAGACAAGAGGAAAAAAAAAAACACACACACACAGACGAAAAAGCAGCTGCCTCTGCTCCACACACACACACTCACACACTCACACCGTGCAATTCGAGTGAGTGCGAGTCTGTGTGTGTGTGTGTGTGAGTGTATGCACGCATGTTATAATTATCTTTCACACATTGTGAGGCGCAGACAAAGCGTTTGCCTGTCGTCTGCTGCTGCTGATGCTGATGCTTCAGTCCACAGCGCCCTTCTCGGCACTTCTCAGCGCGCTTGGCGCGCGCCAGCCGCAGACAAAGTTATGTCAGCGCAAATATTTGAGAGCAGTCGACTTGTCGAGGCCAAATACATGCACACACAAACACACACACACACACACACACACAGACGTATATTTATATATGCATGTGTGCAGGTGCTGTTTGAGGCATCGTCAACTGAATGAAACAGAAAGAGTAAAAGAATAACCTCTGCAAATATTTAGAAGACATCCGTGTAAAGCCCTAGCCCCACTCCCCCTCCCCCATGCACGGCGTGTGGCTAATTGATTGAATCCGGAGGCTTGGCATTTGCCACATTGAATTCGATTTTGATTTCCAGCCGCAGCAGCAGCTGCTGCTGCCGTCGCCAGAGATAGTTAAATTTAATGACGCACTTTCTGGGCTGCCGAATGCAACGTGATTTATGGGCCAGCGCTTCGATTATGGCCAAATCCCGTTCGCAGCGCATTACAAAACGCGGCTCCAAACTATGCATAAAACTGTTCATTAGGCCATCATGTTGTGGCCGCCTTGTGGCCCGGGCGTTATCTGAGCCGCGCAACGCGACGCGTTCGTAATTAAGTTCAAATTTGATAAGTGAACCCGAAAAGCCAGGCGAGCGCAGGCCGCAATCAAATTGTCAGCTCTATCTCAATCTCTATCTGCGTTGTGTGTGTGTGTGTGTGTGTGTGTGTGTGTGTGTAACTATATCTGCATCTGCTGCGTCAGCTGTTGGCTTTAATTAACTTGCATCAGTGTCGAGGCATTTACAACATTCAGCTCAAACACTTATGGCCAAGGGCAGAGAGAGAGAGGGAGAGTGTGAGTAAGGGAAATCCCTCTTTCTTCTTCTAGCTTAGCTCATAGTTAATCCAACTCTAAGCTAGCTATGCGATCGACAATATATATATGCTAACTGCCTCTAGCTGCGGCCAAGAGCAGCAAACGTGAATTGAAATCGCTTTAGCTTTGACATTGGCATTTCGCCTTTGCCTGCTCAATGTGCTGTGCCATGTCCGCTGTCCGCTGTCCGCCTGATGGCCATGTTCATGTCCGTTATTTCGTTGTCCTTTGGCCGTCTCCTGGCAGCCTTTTCAATTTGCTGGCCTGCGCTCTCGTCGACATTTCATCGTTTTATGATTGATTGCGTTCGTTCGCCTCGCTCTGATTTTCGTTTACCAAAATTGTGAATTGAAATCGTGTGCATGTGGCTCAATGGCAGCGATAACTAACTCTCTGTCTGTCTGTGTGTGTGTGTGTGTGGCATGTGGCCACCCTCACACACATACACACACACACACATTGTTGTTGCCTCTTGTTGGTATGCGTTTGCGGTTGCGGTTTCTGCTTTTGCGTTTTTGCGCTGCAATTTGACAATTTCATCGCAAAATTGTTTTGGTGTTTGTGGCCATGTTCCGCTGTGGCATGCAACGCTATATGTGTGTGTGAGTGTGTGTGTGTTAGTCTGTGATTTATCAAAAGTGGTCGATTTACAAATTTTTGTTTACGTGCAAACGCTGGTAATTAATAATTTCTGGGCTGAATACAAAGCCAATCGATTGTTTCCAGCGAAATGCCAAAACATATTTAAGGCAGGCAAATAAAACAGAGCGAGAGAGAGAGAGAGAGGGGAGAGGGAGAGTGCAAGAGTGCAAGAGAGAAAGGGTGCGGGAGTGCGATTTAGTTATTGTCTGAATCATATCATTAAAATTGGCTTTTATGATTTCCTCGTTTTGATTGGCATTCATAACATTTCCGCTTACGTAAAATTTTCCAAATTTTATGCTCACCATTTTTGCCTTGCGCTCAACACACACACACTCACACATAATTCATTTCATACACAATTGTTAGATTTCATTTTGACCTATTCCAAGTGACCCAGTTGATTGGTTCTTTTGGGCACTCTTCGTTGCGAGCATTATTTATAAACATTTTTGGCTTAAATGGCCAGCATAGCCATAAAATGTTCCCGTTGATTCTAAAACTTTTGTTTTACGCCTTCATAAATTGTTCGCACTTTCTTCGCTGGAAGCGTCCATAATACTCAGAAATCAGAAATCAGAAATCCCATTCTCGATTCCTGTGGATGTTCCATTGTTTGGGCCTAGCGCTGCTCCTCTCCGATATTTATATCAGCCCATCTAGCCATCTAACCATCTTGCCATCTGCCATCTGCACCGCTATGGACATTATTTTTTGGCCGAGATTTCATTATTAGGTATTACAATAAAAGCAGCTGCCGCTGCTGAGTCCGGCTAATGGGCCGACAATTAGCGCCGAGCGAGAGAGCCGCGCTGAAATGCTGAAATGCCGAAATGCCGAAATGCCGAAATGCCATTCTCGTCTCACTTCAAAGATATTCGCAAGTCGTTCAACATCTCAATCTTGCAATGCACTTGCATCCGCTGGCCATTGCGACTCGGCGGGACATTTGAGAGGAGTCGAATGTACCATGAGCATGTGGGTCGGCGAGGTCTTTGGGTTGTTAATTTGCCAATATATATGGCTAAGGATTTGTTTTAATTTGCTTAAGCTTATACAATACTCCAGTGGCATATTTGCACAGTAGCTGAGTTTCTTTCAGATTATGGAAGAGCGTATATTGCTATAGGGATTCAACTAAAGACTCCCTCTGATATTTAGATTTTGTTGATTTTCTATCAAGCCAACTTTGCAGCAAGGACTTGAAATATTTTCATATCTATTTGAGCATAAGCTGGCTATAAAGCTATAAAGTTTAGCTGGAGCGTGTGAAGAGGTGGTGGGGGAGTCCTGTGCTCCTCTGTAGTTTTCTAGTTAGTTTCTAGAACTATAAAGAATATCAAGTGATTTTTTCTGCATCCCCAATTGCATATAAAATGTTATTCTCCACTTGTATTTAAATATTAGTGACAACAGTAGGAAAGAACCAAGTCGTCTAGCAATCGGCCAAAGTCTTGCTAGAGTTCATGAACTTGTATATTATATAAAGAAAGACGTAGGCTAAACATTCATTGGAAACCATTTCATGTGTGTCTTCAATATAGATTGATGATTGCATATAAAATATGATTCTCTACTTCTTTTCCAATGCAAGCATCTCACATATTTAGTGAGAAAGGAGGAAAGAGCGCAGTCAATTAGCAGTTGGCCAATGTCTTGCTAGTATTTATTTTTATTTATGCTTTATTTTATATTATTTTATTGAGCTTTATTTCCCTTGAACATTTTTATACCTTGAACCCATTTAAATGGGAAATCAGGGTATAATGATTTTGTTAAAAGTATGTAACAGGCAGAAAGAGGCGTGGCAGACCCCACAAAGTATATAAATTCTCGATCAGGACGACGAGCTGAGTCGATTTGGCCCTGTCCGTCTGTCTGTCTGTTCGTCCGTCTGTCCGTATGTATGAACGCGTTTACTTCAGAAGATATAAGAGCTAGAGACTTTGTATTTATTTTTTAAGCTTTTGCCACAAATTTATTTTGATACAGTTGTTTGCTTTGGTTTTTCAACTGAGATTATTATAGTTTTTTCTAGTTAGGGATTTTCCGTTTTTTATACCCTGAACCCATTGAAAATGGGAAATCAGGGTATAATGGTTTTGTGAAAAGTATGTAACAGGCAGAAGGAATCATCGCAGACCCTATAAAGTATATATATTCTTGAGTCGATTTGGCCCTGTCCGTCTGTCTGTCTGTTCGTCCGTCTGTCCGTATGTATGAACGCGTCGACTTCAGAAGATATAAGAGCTAGAGACTTTGTATTTATTTTTTAAATAATCTTACTAAGCTTTTGCCACAAATTTATTTTGATACAGTTGTTTGCTTTGGTTTTTCAACTGAGATTATTATAGTTTTCTCTAGTTAGGGATTTTCAGTTTTTTTCTTTCTTTATTTTTTTTTTCTTTGCAGTTTACTGTGCATAATGTAGCCAAAACGTAGTTTATTCTTTCCTATTGATGCTCTTTTCTATCAAATAAAACTAAAACAAAGATTACTTTGACTAGGAATTTGGGAATGTATTATATATGCATACATTATATATTACTTTTGGGAATATTTTACTGTTGATCGATTATAAAATTAGTATAAAATTGAAGTACAAGCAGCAGTAGACTCT